CCCTGTTTTAATCAGCGAATAGTGGTCAGTGCGCATTTCTGGTCAGGAGAGAGATCAAAGGCAAACAAGGTGTCATTGCGTGCAAAGTCTCATGGTCAATTAACAGAGAATGATCTTTCACGTGATTGCTTGCTGTCTGTATCAGATGCATGTATTCTCTCTCACAGCATCCAGCCTCAAAGTCTGGTTGCAAAGGTTTGGATGGTATCTGTTCACTATACATATACAGGGCCACAAAATTAATATAATAATGGTTTAAAATGAAAGGGGTTTTTAGTGTAACTTCTGCTAAAGGCGTCTTTATCCACAAACCCTAGGACAAGTATTTTCGGTAACTGTCCCAAGCACAAGTTCACCTGGTTACTGACCCTGCTGCCTGCAGGGATGCTAAACACTTTTGTTCCCACATAGTCCACAGGGTATTTAGCGTTAGCAGTAAGCCGGGCCTCTGCATGCCCCAGCCGGACGCCTGGGGCCACAAGCACATTCTTCACAAAGAGGGACACTGATACAACGCACAGTTTAAAGTCCTCAGCCGCATCACCCATTAAACAAAAGGCCTCTTTACTGCCTGTTAATTTTTTCATATCTACCCTGTTCAACAAAAGTTTTTCTTGAAAAACAGGTCGCTGTTTAGATGACCCAGCAGCTCTACTGTCCTGCTCTGGGCCATCAGCCTAGCATGACTAACAAATCCTAGATTCTCGCCATCCAGCTCTGTTTTTTCTCACCATCCAGCTCTGTGTTGTCCAAGAGTGTCTTTGTAAAACAGACCGGCGGAAAATTGTGTAATGAGTGTGTCATTGCTGTAATTGAGAACCAATTCGATAAAGGCCCTGTAAGGGTAACAGTTGATGCTTTGGCTTACTAGGCAGTCTCCCAACGTAACATCCAACTGACTGAAAATAGAGCCCACTGGGTAATTCACCAGGCCTACCGCGGCATCCCTGGGGAGTGCAGTTCCATCTCCTTTTACTATCTTGCAACAAAGGTACAGTAGTGTGTTGTTGAAATCCATATAATCTATTCCATTCCCTGCTATTAAAAAGTCGATGGGGGCAGTCTCCATCACGGCTGACAAAGGTGGCACCTTGATGTAGATGATTTTCTCAATGCTGGTCTGCATACAGGCTATCTGAAACAAGTCTAGTTCGGATTTGGTGCACTCTTCCGACCCGCAGTGAATGAAAGCCATGTTGATTAAAATATCTGTCTTTTACCAGGTACAGAGCATGTCCTCTTTCGTCCTGGCTTCCTCTTCAACTTTTGCTTATGGTCAGTCCTGCATGTCAAAGCTCTTCTTTTAAAGGGTTGGAGGGGGGGGAGAACTGTGCGTCGCGGATATGACACATTACTCTTTCTCTTCCTCCTTCTAATATACATCAGCCCTGACCCCTCCTGTGCAACCGGATTCGCCACCTTTTCCAGAATAGCACGGGAAACATGGCCTATCACATCTCTGGCTACATTTTGAGCGGCTGTTTTTACATGGGGTTTAATAATCTCTAGCCCTTTTCACAAAAGCAGTACAGCTTTTCAAAAAAGGGTATGGAATATTCTGCCCACGCCGGCCCAGTACATCACAGGGGCTCCATGATATCCAGGAAGGGCATATCCAGCCTAGGCTTTGTAATAGTTGCTGTAGACTTAGGGATCACCAAATTTTTTAAGATCGCCATAATAGTGTTTTACTTTTTAGAAACCTCGCTCTTTCTGGGAACGCAGGTGCAGCTTCACAATCACCTTGCCAAAGCAAAATGAGACAGGCCTGTTCTGATCTGTCTTTATTTCAATGATGATGGTGTCGATGTGGTTTTGATGGATGGGTACGTAATGGGTACAAACCACTTAAAGGTTTGTTTAAAAATTCTTTTCCCAAATCAGTTTGTAATTTTTGAGGCATGCGACCTTCACTGAAAATAACTTTAAAGGCCTTGGCTACCTTTTTGCCCATCTTGTCCTCTAGGCCTAAGGCTCAGGCATATTTTGATAAAATGTCTATCACCGTTAAGATATACTTAAAACCGCTGTTGTGTTTGAAGAACTGGTGCATATCCACCAAATCTGCTTCCCATTTTGCATCCATGTCTGAGACAATGGTCTTGTTTTTTTAAAACGTACTCAAGCAGGTTTGTACAAAGAGTAAGCATCCTGGTCTAAAAGCCATGATGTTACCGGTCTTCTATTCAGAGGTTTACTATGCTTTTTGACTTCTTGAAACAAAGGGTTCATCCCACCAAAGCAGCCAACTTCACCAGGGGTGTAATATATTTTCATTAACAGAGCCATATGCATAGACATTACTGTTATTTGTGCTAGTAAAAGATGCTGTAAGTATGGAAGGGAAACATTCATACTAACACATTTAATAAAAGTTTTATTAATCAGCTGGATTAACACACCCTTTTACAGTTGTGTTCAAAAAGGGTGCCATGACATCCCCACCACCATCGTGAAGAGGGAGTCCGAGTTGATTCATTCTTTCATTTTGTCCTTTTGTTCTCAAGATCTGTCTGTCAGACATAAGCAAAAACAGCTGACAAGATAGATTTACTCCCACAGGACTACGGCCATGAAATTTCTCAAAGGCCTCTAGAAAGGAATCGTCGAGCTGTCAAGAAATTGCCAGAAAGAAATAACATAAGATCCTCTGGTAATTTTTTTAATTTTATTTTTAGGTTTACAAAATCCCAGTCAGTTCCTAACCCCCATTATGCCCCAACCTCGCTCATTCATTTACATGTTTGACTTCTTTTCCATTCACCTTGTCCGACTCCTGGGAGCCATGGGCACCTTTCTCCTCCAGGCCATCTAGCTCACTGGGTTGCCCTCTGAACGGTTGGGTTTGGAGGTCAGATGCTGGTGTATCCAATAGCAGTGGGGGTAAAGGGCTCCTGTTCATCTCGCCCTCCTCTTCTTCCTCAGAACTGTCGCTGATGTGGCGCTTTCTCCACATGAGGTGGAGGGCCCTCAGCACCAAAGCAAAGTCCGAACTTCTGGAGGGGTGGTGGTGGAGTCCATTTTTCCGCTCAGCGTTCGCACAATTTCTGAAACGCGCGCTTTGGGAGCAAGATGGCCTCCTCTGCATGGTGCTAGAACTTCTGGGGAAGTGCTCTGCTATGACTGGTAGAGGGCGGCGTGGGAAGCTTTTAGAGGGGTAACATGGCACACTTCTGGGCGGGTCAACTGGTCCCGGAACTGCCCCAATTGGGCAAAGTGTTTCGCAGGGAGGCGGTCCAACAGGGGGAAAACCCTTCCTGATTGGTAGAGGGTGGCATGACGAGTTCTTAGAGGGGTCACATGATACCCTTTACTTCCAGTCATGTGTCCCTCTTACCCCTAGATATACTACCCAGACGGGCAGGTCTTCCAGTGAGAGGGGGCGGGGCCTAAAGGGATCGGGCACGGGACTAATGTTTGATTGCTTGTAGACACCTTATACTACTACTCTCATATCACCTGCTGTAACGGGCGTGGGCAGAACGACTCGGGGAGTAAGAATAAGGCAGCAACTGTCTGTAAAAAGGCACTGGAGACTATGATCGTCGCCTGTAGTAACTGTCGTCATGAAGATGGGATGGATGCCTATGTGAATAAGGGCTCCTCTGAAAATAGTGATGCCTTGGACCGTGGCAGTGGTAAACAAGTTGTAGGGGAGAGTCATTTCAAGCTGGGGACTTGGTGCTGTAGCATCAGGATTGAGCTCCTTATCAAACAGCAACATTTTGAGTCGCATTTCTCTATCACGGCAAGCCCTGGCCGTGAACTTAGAGCAGTGGCCACATTTTTGTGGTATATACGCCTCGCCCAAGCAGCCAGCATCGCCTCATGGCAAAGGGCACATTTGATCCAGGCATCGTGCCTATACTCTTTTCCCTTTTATTTTATTTTGGCAAAGAGCCGCAACGGAGAGAAGCGGCAAAGCCGCAAACAGTTCAAAAAATTGTGTTTTTTTTTAATGTTAAACTAAACTAGAAGAACGACATATATTGAATCCAACTAACTTTATTTCCAATTATTTATTTACAGGATAGATGACGTAACTCTGTGAAGAGAAGAGGAGAAGCAACCACGGATGCTTGAGAGGAACTGGCAGGAGCTGAGCCGCACGAGACGATCAAAGGGCGCAAACGGCGCGAGACACTAACCGCACATGCTAACTACGCCCGGCTCACTACCACTATTGAAAGTCTCAGATCTGTGGTGCCGGGATGATCCCAACACCAACAGTGGAGCACTCACAGGGACCACTCGAAGAAGAAAACAAGGTTTGGCAGAACTTACCCGAGGAATATACTGGGTCTTTTACAGTGAAGTAGCGTCTAAGCCAGGGGTGGGAAACCACAGGTCGAGGGGCTAGATATAGCCCCCAGCTTTCCTGGATCCAGCTCCCAAGGCTAAGCAATGGGGAGCCTACGCTGGTGTTCCAGTCCCCCTGCCAGCCACCCAAGAGGCTGGAGCATACAAAATCTACAAGCCAGGGCTTCCCTATGCTCTGTTGTGCAAGGGGAACGTGGGAAGTGTCTTTCTCCTTCTCAGTCAGGAGCTTCTCACTTTACTTCTCACGTGTGTGCAGCCCCCAACTGATTTTTCTATGAGTTAGTGGTCCCCAACCCAAAAAACGTTCTCTAAGCTCTCTGATGGTCAGATAATTTCAAATACTCTCCCGCAAAGGCTTTAAGATCAGTACTAGAAATTTAGAGATATTGAGTGCTGTGCCCCACCTCAGTTCTCTTTCTCCCCAAGAGCTCTCTTTTCTTCAATTCAGGTAGAGACAGGCAAATTCCCAACTCAAAGAGGAATAAAAGGGTACATTTTAAAGGGTAAAAATGTTTCTAAAGTCTTATTGCTGCAATGAAGCTTTTCCTTTTCTTTTTAAACTTCATAATGTATAACAAACTATTGCAACCACTTTGCAATCACAAAGGAAAACAGACAATTATTTCTTACCTTTTCCATATAATGAACTATAATAGGAAGTTTCTGAAATCTCAACTTACCTGAAACAATGATTTCCGAACTATATAAAAATCCATTTCAAAAGCAGCAGTAAATATTATAACAGGTGTGAAAATATGAAGAAAAAGGACTGGATCAATTCCTGCAATGTACTCTGTCAATGCTTTAACCTGACAATATAAAAAAGCGTATTTATTAATTGATTTCTGGAAACAATAATATATATTATAGAATGCAGAAAAATTAAAAGGTTTTTCTACTACTATAAATCTGCAATGATATTAAGTAATCATTTTGGATTGTAAAAACCATTAAGACAATGTGTTCAATTACCACCTTCTAAACAGTTGTCATCCTCCCTTCATCACACTACACTGCACCTTTCAACAATCTGGACCATCTGTGAAACTAACAGGTAAAATCAGTAGTCTTGTAACAAATATATGTAGACTGCCAGATAGCTTGGTGGCCAGGGAGGCTCTGCATGCTATCCTTGCACTCACAAGTGCTGGCCCCACAGTTCTCATTAGTCATGGTTCCCACCCAATGGGAGCTGCAGAGACAGCAACCGGGTGGAGGCAACACATGCAGTTTTTCTGCATGTAAGGCCACAGGGACCTGACACTGACTTCGAAGACCCATGCAAAACCAAAGCAGTTAGGAGCCTGCATTAGCTCCAGGCCCCCAAAAGCACTAGTAGGGAAGGGGAGGAGCTGATCAGCAGGGCCCACAGGGCTCCTTGAATTTCCTCATGGACAGTGTTCCAAGATTTTCCATCCATGAGTGCACTGAGTTTTGCCTGTGAACCAATATTAAGATCATGTGCGCTTGTTCGGATGTGCGCCACCATGGTGCCCAAGTTATTAACACACGCATTTTATTTTATATATTATGGAAGAAAATATTAAAATGGGATAACTAACAAGGAGCATGACTTTAAATGTTTATTTAATATGAAATCAAATAAAACAAAAATGGCTTGCTACACATCCCACTGGCCTTGACCTCAGTTAGTGTTCTCATATCCTCTGTGATGATGGAGTAGGATATGGGCAGAGCAAATGGACTTAATGAAATGCTAGCCTTAAATCTCTGCTCCTGGGTTTGTCTGTGAGCAGAAACCTTTTCCTTTTATGTGACTTTGATTTTATGATTTCTCCGCATTTCACAAACCGGTCAGAAAATAAGGGATTTCAGCTCAATCAGCTCTTCTCTGGCCAAATCATTTGTGCAAAAGCACCAGACACAATAAGATTATCAGTCACAAGCAGCTTGTCATTTTAGATACAAACATCTTAATTACATAGTGAGAATTTGTCAGGACTTGGAGTGATGCTAATTCTCCCTCCCCCCCCTCTCCTACCGCTGTCACTCTGGTGCCCTGTTATCTATAGTCCCTGGAGCAGTCACAGCACAGTCCCAGCTCCAACTCCAACACACGGGGCAGATGCCCACCACATGATCCTGCCCCAGGAGACGAATAACCACCATGCAGCCCTAGCCCTAGATGCAGACCTGGAGACAGCAAAAAGTTACCTGGCTCAGCCCCCACTCTCTCACCAGCCTGACCACCACCAATTTCAACAGATAGGACCTAAGTAGTGCAGGGCTGCAGGCATACTGCTGCACAGGTCTGCTAATGAGGTGGGTGGGACTTAAATTATTTCTGCATGTCCTAGAGAGAACTATGCTCATGGACACCAGTCTGAGAAACACTGATCTAGACCAGTATTTCTCAATCAGTGATACGAGTACCCTTAGGGGCACTTGAGAGAAATCTGGGGGGGTACATCGACACAACTGAAACTTGGAAAAAAATGAATTTTTGTTTTAAGTGTCACAGTGCTTTATTATACTGCTCTACAGCCAAAATGCTTCTGAAATAAATGTAGTCAAACTTTACTAATTCTGGGTCACTGAGAATGAAAATCATGCTTAAAATTGTTGATTGGCTCTAGTTTTCAAGATATGCTATTGGGTCAGTATATACGATCCTTGACTTGCGAATGGCAGAGGATAAGTGAGGTATAAAGGGAAGGGATCTCAATTTAAACCAGAAATGACTAAAATACATCTTTGATTGGATCAATGAATAAATCTATGACTGGGTTTGAACAGTACTTGCTTTTTAGGCAAAACAATGAATGATGCAATCTGAAGCTGCTATTGCGTCATACATGATATGAATTGCATCATGTTATTCCTAGAAGTCATGGATGATGCAATCATAACGAAGCTTACATCACTCTCCTGAACAAATTGCTCTATATCAGCTCTAGAAATCATATAGTGCCGTGCTCTCTTATTTGTCAGTGTTTGATTTTGCAAAGTTACACATTTCTGTTTAGCCAGAGTGAGCAGAAATGCCTCGTACTTGTGTGAACAGTGCAGATAGCTTCTGCTATGATTGTGGTGAAGTGACTTTTGCATCACAAAAGTGCAGTATAACCACTATGGTTAAGAAAGCCTATCACCTTTATTTTGGCTGCAAAATTGGAGATCAGGACAAGAGATGGGCCCCACACATATGCTGCAACACTTGTGCAACAAATCTTCGCCAGTGGTTGAACAGGAAAAGGAAATCTATACCCTTTGTGGTGCCAATGATTTGGAGAGAGCCAACAGATCATACCAGCAATTGTTACTTCTGCATGGAGCCTCCAGTTGGGAAAGGTGTGTCAAAGAAGAAAAAGTGGACTGTGCATTATCCAAACATTCCATCAGCTATACGCCCAGTACCCCACAGAGGAAGACTGCCGGTTCCTGATGCACCAGAATCATTCTCACTTGAGTCAGACGAGGAAGAGGAAAAGGATGAAACTTCTGGTCCTGAACCATCAATGTCACAGAACCGACATTTTCTCCCATCCTCCTCCTCTGAACCACACCTTGTGAATAACACAGGGTGAACTGAATGACCTTGTTAGGGATTTGGAACTACCCAACAGTAAGGCAGAGCTGTTGGGCTCCAGACTACAGCAGTGGAATCTCCTGGCAGGTGATGTTAGG